TCTCTCTCTCTCTCTCTCTCTCTCTCTCTCTCTCTCTCTCTCTCTCTCTCTTTCTCTCACTCTCTTTCTCTCTCACGTCTCTCTCTCTTTCTCCCTGCCTCTTTATGCACAACAGGTAACTAATGGTCACAAAGGACTGCAGTAAAAGGAAGATCACCCAATTTCAGCACAATTCCCTTTAATTAGAGTGGAGAGTCAATGATTTTAATTTTAACAGAACTTTTGGGCTTCATCAAAACAAGATACAAAAGCTTGCAACTTGGATCATATTTCAAATCATACATTTGTTTTTGAACACATCCTCCCCTTCTCTCGTTACCACAACAACATTATTGGCGACCCTACTCATAAGAGCATTTACCTTGTCCACATCGATGCCTTTCCCCCATATGTCAGCCAGATAAGCCTCAACATTTGACGGCCGGCCCACATCCAGCACCATCTCCCCTGGGCTGATATTAACCATCAACAGAATAAAGACATTTTTGTATGGGGCATTATCATTGTCGCAGTAACCATGCAGCAGTAGAGCAGCTTCCCCAGACAGCAGCTGTAGGTTCTCCACCAAAAGTGACTTGCTGCCGCTGTTGTGGAATGCTCCCAGAAATGCTTCATCTAGTTTCATCTTCTGCTCTGCCGGACTCAGATGTTTGTATGTCCCTATATCCGTTTTCCTCCCGGCTGGACTTTGACCCAGACTGGACTCAAAGCGGGAAGCAATCTCACTGGCAATGCACGAAGCCAGTTTTGAGTTTCCAGTTTCAACCCCCATTAGAATGATGCTGGGGTAGATGGGGTCAGTTTCATTCAGAACATGTTTGGCTGTGGCCTTGACAGTCTTCCATGTTCGTCTGCCTTGAGCAGGAAAGGCCTTCTCCAAACTTTCTATGTCTTTCAAAAATTTCTCAAAAGGCATTAAACCTTCGTCAAACACTTCAGTTTCACTCCTGCCAGACAAGCAGCAGATAAACAGACATAAAAACCCAAGGATAGCCATCAAGACCCAAACAGCAGTTCCACTTGAAGGAGCTTCAGACTCTGTATGACGAGCACTTGAAGATGAACTATTTATATTTTTAGGTGATTTAGAAGAGCAAGTAGATCGTTCGCCACGTGGTGAAGATCTGTCCAAAGATTTTCTGTGAAGTGGTGAGGTACTGCTCAGGTCAGAAAACTCCGGTGAACTTTGAGTGGCACTCTTAGTGTGCCTGCTGCCGGGAAAGGTCGACCTGCTGTCATCAGAGTCCGAGTCATCAGATGTCAAATTGTCCTCCTCATCACTGTCCACGACATGGTCACTGCCCCTTCTCTCTGATTCTCGCTGCTTCTGCTGCCTTCTTGTCCTCGGACTCCCACTTGCCATGACAGTTCCTGCAATCATCATTCATTACAACTTAGCATATATGACTAATCAAATTCTATCATAGTCTTCAAACACAAAAATTATAACTGAAAAATTGAGAGGTGCCACTCTTCCTGAGTTCCTTGAAAATTGTAATGACTTGTTTTGTCACCAAAAAAAATGGATTTGATTCATTCCCTAGCAATTGATTCAAATGTCAAAGTCCTTCCCCTCCCTCTTTTTCACTGGCTTGACAATTATAGACATCATATATAATTTCACTACTGAAGTCCTCACAATCCAATATGATATAGTCTAGGTTAACACTCCTATGAATTGCCCTCACCCCAATTTGAGTAATTGCAGGGCCCTATATCACCCACCGCTGGAAGTGAAAAAAAAAACAGGAGTGACCTGTTCACAATTATACAAAAGTCATGGCAAAAGTGGATTTTGTAAACTTATTTTTCCATTTACGTACTAAAAGAATATATATAATATTTCGACAAAAGGTCCAAGTCCAAGTATTATGGGTTATAATGATAATATTGATTGGTTTTTGTTACATATTCTAGAACGAAAATCTTGGGGTCTCCACTCTGTGACAATGTTCCCCACTGTTTAGTAAGCATAAAATCTGGTTTCTTTGGTGTCCTCGGAGAGTTTCAAAGAAAGTCATTATCCTCAGGATGGAGGATTGGGCCCAAAGCAATTACAGCAGAGAGAGGATAGAAAAACCAGTCACCATTGTGAGTGGTTGATGGGTGCTCTGGTGTGGTTTGCTCCTTCTTTCCTATCCAACATCTATCATCCCTATTTCTTCTCTTTTTTTGTGTGTATCTCTTCTAAGACCTCTAATTTCCAGCACTAATGTGACTTTATGATGTTATAAATGCAGTAAAAACCTTACTAAAACAAACAAACAAACCAGACACCATTACACAAAGTTAAGTGTATAGATCTAGTGAAGAAAAAGAGTTGACATGGTTAGCCCCAAGATCAGGAGCTACCACAACTACGGATGAGTTGATGTGGTTTGGAAAGTGGGAAAAAAATCAGCCCATCCGAAGTTCAACTTAATCACTGGGACCTGTAAAGAAGAACAAGAGCTGGGACCTGAGAAAAAGACGAACTAAACCGAAGACCAACTCATGTAAGTTCAACACAAGTAGAGTCGACTGTATGCACACATCTGGAAAGGAAACGACCAGATGTAAGAAATGAATCCATAACATCAGAGCACTATATTAATTATAGTAGGCCAACATTCTATAGCTCACAAAAGTTAACATGATTTTTTTAAAACCATTTTTTGGACAGTTAGAACTCTGTAAAACAACCTCCCTTCTTACTGTGAAGATGATAAAGCATGGGAAAACAAATTTTTCCACTCAATTTCTTTGGAGAGATGAGTGAAAAGACCGAGAAGACCTCTTGTCCATTTCCTTTATTTCTATATATTTTCACTAGTGGCATACTAGTTCCATGCTCCTTCCTAAACTCCCTGTTTCAAGTTATCTAGGGGGACTCTCATGGTCTACACTCTAGAGGTTAAGGTGTTCGCCTCTCATTCAACAGGTACCGGGTTCCAATCCGGAGTGGGATGGAAAATTTTCTTCTCTAAAATTTTCCCCTTTCACATCCTTTCCAAATCTCTAAAAATGTTGTCATCTGCTTTCGTCTCCACCTTCTGCAAAATTCAAAATTTCCTACCAACTGAAAAATGTTTCATGTGTCCCGTATGCTAATATGACCTTATACAGTTGCGAGCAAAAGTTGCGTACAATGGCTACCCCTTGAATTGATGAAGCAGCAATGTCATCATCTTCAACATTGAATCTCACGCTGATAAAGGTCTACTAAAAATTGACAACATAGATTCTAGAGTATATAGATTCTAGAGTATAGAAAATAATAATTTAATAATTAATGTAGTAATAGAATACAATTGGGACAAAAGACAAAGGAGTAAAAAATATAGGACCTGAAGGAATTCCAAGTGCCCTTAGAGATATCAGATGTATCTAAGAATAAATACTGTGCCACTATAAATATATATAATATATATATGTAATCTACAGAGGCTTTACACTCCTTTCCATACCTGGGAAAGTCTTCAACAGGATACTCCTGGAGAGAATCAAGCTGGCAACAGATGAGAAGCTTC